AGAGGCTGGATTTTAGGGATGCTTTTGCTCCCGAGAGTGAAGCACAGGACTTGCGGGGGGACACAGGCATCCCCTCGGTTGTTGCAGCGGGGCAGACATCTGCCCCAGCCCAAGCAAACAGAGCTGTTCCCATCTCAGGAGCTCAAGCAGAGCAGAGGTGACTTGTTCCAGTGTCCCAGAGGGACACGGCAGGGACCCTGTGAGCTTCAGTCTGCACCCGTGGAGCCCCATCCTCATGTTTGGTGTGTCTGTCTGTCCATCCGCTCTGCTTTAACACCTTGGCTGCTGATCACAGGGTGGGTTGCAGGTGCTTGTGGTTCCCAGGCTGTCTTGGGCAGAGGGGCTTGAACAGGATTCGTGCCAGAGTGGCTCCGCGGCTGCTCTCATTTCTGCTGTTGGCATATCAGAGCACACCCATCAGCGCTGCCCTGGCTGCTGCTCGCTGCAAGTTTCAGCTCTCTCAATAAATACAACTGGTAAATCTATTAATTTTACAGCTCTAATTGATGTATTGCTGTAATTACCTTTTATAACAAGGCAATTAAACCCTATTAAAGATTATTAGCTAATTAAAACTCCTCTATAGACACACACCAACCCCCTTATGTGCACAGATTGTTAGTGGGGGGAACTGGAAGCCCATCGCAGTCAGGGCCTTGCAGGTCAGCACGATGCATGGCATGATGTGATGGGTTGGGATGCTGGACGGGGAGATCTGGGTCCCATCCCTGCTGCTACCACCATGTCCCTTTTCATCCTTGGGCATGTCACTTACTGCCAATGCTATAAGGGAGAGGGACTGCTGCGTATGCCCAACCCAGCGATTTTTGGCTGTCTGGGATCAGATGGGAAAAAACTTGGAGGCTGGGATCTTCTCCTCCTGGTAATAGGGTGGTTGGGGATGTAGGGTTAACAGTGCTATGTCTTCTTGGCCAGAAGAGAGGGTTGGAAAGGGAAAATCCCCACTTGGAGATGGGGTGTGTCTGCTTTGGAAAGGAAATAGCTGGAGAAACGGCCCTGTGCTGGGGCCGGGAGTGAGGGGAGTGCGTCGGTTGGGGAGAGCACTTGGAAGGTGTCTGTGGGATCGGGGTGGCTCAGTCCTGGGTTGCTCTGTGCCTGCAAAAGCAGGTGACAAAAGCTGTGCACGGCCTGGGAAGTGAACCCCAGGGGCCTTGGAAAGAGCCAAAAAGAGCTGAAAAGCCATCTGAAAAGCAGTCCACAGGGCTCCCACCTGGGGCACTGCCTGGCCCGATGGTGGGAGCCAGCCCCTTCCCGCATCCCTCCGTGCTGGAGCAGCCGCATGGTGTGGTGGTCCCCAGAGCTGCAGCTCCTCTCGCCACCCCTGACCCCTAGAGCAGCTGTGCTTCATCGCTGCCCACGCGTGCACATGTAAGTTTGCATTGTGGCATTTGCAGGCACTCAATGTTTCCAGGCTTTTTTGCAGGCCAAAGAGCTTTGGAGGTTGAAAGGGGTTTGAAATTCCAGGGATGTGACCCCTTTCTGCCTTCTGAGTCACGCTAAGGAAGATACAGCCCATGCTGAGAGCCTCTCCTTGAGCCACAGCAGCCTCCCCGTCCATCCGTCGCCCCTCGCCCATCCCCCTTGCTCTGCTGCAGCGTCATGCACGCCGCTCCGGCTCCCTGAGCACTCGTGGAAACCGCAGGAATTCACGTTTGTGGGCTGAAGCATCACGCTGTGCCCCAGCCTGTGCCGTGCCATGGCGGGGCTGGCTGCAGCAGGGAAGGGAGGTGCAGAGCAGAGCCTGTCCTCCTGGCTCGCCTGTTATGAAGCCTGGCTCATCTGGTTTAAATTAAACCCCTCCTGCCTTGCACAAGTGACAAGCGCCTCTTTGCCAGTTGTGAGCCAGCCAGACCCAGTGACCGGCTCATGGCTGTGCCAGCGATGGGCTCCTCTGTCTCCCCACAGGCGTGCCGGGTCGGGATCCTCCTGCCCTGGTCCAAGGCAGGGCTGAGGGCATCACCCCTGCAACCTTGCTTGGGGCTGGTGGGGAAGACGGAGCAGCGCAGGGCTGTCTGCACCCAGGAGAAAGGGGGTTTGCACGGGTGCAGTGTGGGGGGGCATCACTGTCCTGTCCCAGAGGGGCTCTGCATGGAGCAACTAGTGCAAAGGAGCCAGAGTCTGACCCTCCCCAGGGCCTCTTTACTCCAGGCTGCCAGCACCACCAAGGAGGATTGCAATAGCCCTGCGGGCTCCTCAGCCAGCAGACTCCTTCCAGGCCCTCCATGTCGTCCTGCTGCCCCCAGGGTCCCATGCATGGCAGGAGTTCTGTGGGGTGTGCAAGGAGCCAGGACGTGCCGGGGGCTGCCAGAGCAGGGACAGGCTGTGCCGATGACCCTTAGCTGTCATTTTTAGCTATTGCCCAAGCTGGTCCCTCCCTGCCTTTGCCCTGGCCCTGGTTTCCCACATTAAGGCAAGGAACCTTTAACCCTGCTGTACTTGTCCCAGGGGATGCTTGGACCCTGGCGAACAGCGCCTGCTCGGGGAGCACCGGGAGGCAAAGGGCACAAAGCGCTTTCCTTCCCACCCCGGGGTTACTTTTTAAAACAAAACAAAGCTGCGGAGTAGAAGGAGGGCTGTTTGCGTCCCACAGTGCCCCGCGGCTTGGCAGCTGCTGCGTCAGAGCCGTTGGCCAGACCCCGCCTTCGGCAGCGAGGCTGCGCGGCACGGGCGTCCCAGGGGGCCGCGAGTCCCCAGCCTGGCCTGCCACGGTGCCAGGGCCACCGTCACCACCCCTGTCCGTGTCCCCTGCCTGCATTGCCAGGATCCAGGGTCCTGCATGCTTTCACCTCCCTTGGGGATGTGACATGCGTGGGGGTCCCCAGAGCTGCAGTGTGTGTCCCCCCCCCAGGGAAGGGAATAAGTGCATGGGGGAATGTGGGGGAGGGAAGGCAGCCCAAGACAGGCCAGGAGGCAGAAGGAGGGAGGAAAAGGGGAATTCAGCTGCAAATGCAAAGGAGGAGAAGGACTGAGCAAAGGAGTGGGGTAAAAGAGAGTAGACACCCCCGGGGCCAGCAGGGAGACCAACACTGGGGTGGGTGGTGGCACAGTCACCCCTTGCACACAACACCCAAGGGTGCCTCCGGGTGCAGAGAGGGACCCCCAGCCAGCAGGGATCGGGAAGGGGGTGCAACAAGGCTGCGGGAGCTGAGCACCCCAGATACCCCCTGAACCTCTCCCCATTGCAGTGCCAGGAGGGCTGTGCCCCAGCTGCCCTCCCCCAGCTCTGCCATGGTGCTGGGGTGGCTTCCTGGCATCGGGCTGTTGCTTTTTGAAAGTTGGACCCTGGATTTTTGCTCCGGTCCCTCTCCCCACCCCGCTACTGTTCGCTGGCAGCAGTGACTCATCGGTGCCGGGAGAGGAGCGGGGATTAATCATTCATAAAGTGCGCATGCACACGCATGTGTGTGTGTGTGTGTGTGTGTGTGTGTGTTTGCGTGTGTTGCTCTGGTTGCTGTGTGAGTCATTCCCAGCCTGCCTGAGGCTTTGCTGCACTTCGATTAGCTGGGAAGCGAATCGAGCTCGATTGCAGCACAGCCAGGACAAGCTGGGCTGGCCGTGGCTCGGGAAGTGGCACTTTCGCCATGCCTTTGGCCTTGCATCTCGCCAACCCCGGGCCCCTCCATCTGCAGGAGATGGCTGGGGTGGGTTGTGCTTTGGGGTGGGCACCGATGCCCAGGCTCTCGCCAGTGTCCCCAGCCGTGGGGTGCAGCTCCTTTTCCAGCTTTCCTTGCTGCTGAGCCCAATTTCGTGAGCAGGAGCCCACAAAGGAGGAAGCTGGAGCCCCCATGACCACCACCTGCCGAGGTCCTGGCTCAGCCCCTCTTTTGTGGGGTGCAAAGGGGTTTGCTCCTCCATTCCCCTTGCCATTCCCAGTTCTCCCTCTCCAGTGCAGGAGGGATTGGCTTTGTAGTGTAAAGCACGGGGGGGATGAAGTCCAAGGAGGGGAACCTCACACACACTACTGCGCTGGGGGGGTGCCAGGAAGCGTGTGGCAGATCTGGAAGTCACGAGCTGCTGAGTCTCGGCAGCGCTTCATGGGAGGCAGGGCACCCTGCTCCAAGCTGGCCAGCAGCTGGGAGGACTGGAATCACCCGTGCTGGAAACTGGAGATACTGGAGGAATGGCTCAGCGCTGGTGGGACTGGGAAAGGCTGGCATTGGGAGGTGGGAGACTGCAAAATAGCTGGTGCAGAGAACTGAGGCAGGAGAAACTGGACTCAACCGGTGCTCAAAATTGGGGGAGTTATAAACTGAGCACGGCTGGCATGGGAAACTGGGAGAAAGGATAAAACTGGGCACAGCTGGTACTGGGAAGAGCTAGGAAATGGGGGCAGCCAGTGCTGAGAGAACTGGGCAAAGCTAGTGCTGGGGAAACTGGGGGGAGGGGGTATCCTCTGGTGCCCCAGGGCTCTATGTCTGTGATGCCTCGGGGTGCTGGGGTACCCTAGCCAATGGTGTTTTGGGTGACCCGGGACTCTCTATTTGGGTCCCCGAAGCCCAGAGTTTGGGGTGCTCCAGGGTCCTGTGCAGCCTGGGGCTCCTGCATTCAGGGTATGCCAGGACCCCCCGGCACCCTGGGGTCAGCTGCTGAGATGCTACCTGCCCTGTCCTGTGGGGCAGAGATGTCCTGGGGGTGCCCGGCTGCACCCCATTGCTGCAGCCTCTCTCAGGGTGCACTTTGCCCTTGCCAAGCCCCCCCAAGCTGAAAGCCAGCTTCAGCTGGGGGAATTGCACTAGAAAAGGGGGGGCACGGGGTGTTTGCGAGGGGGTCACCCTGGGCTGCGCGCCCCGGAGCCGTCTTCCCGAGGCCCCTTTTCCCAGGGATGCTTTTCCAGCCTTTCCCAAGCAAGGGCCTTGACTGATGCAAGTGGATTGTCTCCACCCAGGTTTCGGATAACTCCACCCGCCTCCTCCTCGCAGCTCCTCCTCCCAGTGCACAGCCCAGCTGGGATATAAGCAAGTCACTCAGACAACCAGGAGCAGCCGAGACAGCTGGGTGGGTGGCGTGGGACGCCGAGCTGTGACCTGTGCCGTGTCCTTCGCCTTGACGCCGGACCCCATGGCAACGCCTTCGCAGAAGAGGAGCACCCGCAGCGGGGCTTCGGGGACACCCTTGTCCCCCACCCGCATCACTCGCTTGCAGGAGAAGGAGGACCTGCAGGAGCTCAATGACCGTTTGGCCGTCTACATCGACAAGGTGCGCTCGCTGGAGCTGGAAAATGCCGGCTTGCGGCTCCGCATCACTGAATCGGAGGAGGTGGTGAGCCGTGAGGTCTCGGGCATCAAGGCTGCCTATGAGTCGGAGCTGGCGGATGCCCGCAAGACCTTGGATTCAGTGGCCAAGGAGAGAGCTCGGCTGCAGCTGGAGCTCAGCAAAGTCCGGGAGGAGCACAAGGAGCTGAAAGCCCGGTGAGTGCCCTGGGGACAGGGGGGAACCGTGGCAGGACGGTCCCTGTCGTCATGCTTGGCAGGGAGCCGGGAGGGAGGAAGGAGTGACCTGGAGGAGGCAGGGAGAGGGGAAACCCGTGACCCGGCTGGGGCAGGAGTGTCTGTGGCAGGGACCAAGAGAGGAGGGAAGCTCTCCCAGCATTCCCGCTCTCCCTCCAAGCGCCATCTTTGGCCGGGATGCCCTTGGAGGGGGGGATCTGGGAGCAGAGCTGCGAAAGCTTGGGGCTGGGGCTGAGCAGATGCGCCCTGGGCTCCTGGGGAGGGTCTGCGCAACGCAGGGTGCGAGCGCTGGGCTGGCGGCCCCTCCACTTTCGTCATCCTGGAGCTATTCCTAAATGCGCTCCAGCGCAGACCGGGAAGCGGTGCCAGCCAGCTGGCTCTGTCCTGCCCACAGATCTTGCCTGCTCGTCCTATTTTCCTCTGCTGTCTTTGGCACCAGTTAAAGAACCTGCTCGGGTTTTGTTTGCCTTAACCCTCCCTGTGCCATGCTGTTCCTGCTCTGCGGGGTCCCCTGCTTTGGGGCAAGCAATGCTCGGGCAACGCCTGCATCCCTTTCCCGTCAGCTGGCTCTGGGTGATGTGTTCCAGGTCTGATTTGAGGCTCGAATCCCCCCAGCCCCTTCCCATCAGGTTTATATCTTTCCCTTCCTGACATCAGAAATGCCCACCTCATTGCCACCTCCCTGCTGCTGTTGGGTGCCTCTTCCCTCCCCTCCTCGGGACTGTGGGAGATGCCCAGCGCAGGTCCCCTGAGGATGCAGGTCCCTGCACAGGGCTCCCTGGCTGGTGTCACGCTGCTGGCCAGGCAGGGACCGGCCACTGGGCTTCCCCGGGGCTCTACCAGCCCATGTGGCATTGGGACCGCAGCCCTGTCATGCTCAGCTCCCTGAGTCCCGCTCCACAGAAGGAGCGAGCGGGTCCCCTTCTGTCATCAGCTGTTGCTCAGGGCAGGATCCAGGCTGGGCAGTGGTGGAACAACCCCTCTACCTCCATTTGATCTTTCGCCTCTTATTCTGGACACCTCATTTTGAGTCTGTACCAAATGAGGCTAAAATTAACTGCCTCAGAAGGTGCCATAAATATTCTACCTACTGGGAAGGGAGTGAATGTGCAGCCTTTTACAGCTGTCTTTGAAAGCTGTGCGGTGTTTTATATTTAGCTTTCTATTTCCCGTGCGCTGCTGCGGCTCTGTCCTTAGATAAGGCGGCTTTGCTCGTCCTGCTCGCTGCAAGGCAGATCCCTGCTCGCCAGATCCCAAGGATCTGAGAGCTGGCAAGATGAGGAGCTGTCTAAAGGCTTTTGCTGCCTTATGCAAACCCAGAACTATCTTGGCCGCGATCTTTTGAGGGCTGGAAAAAATGCCCGGCCTGCAGCTGTCCCTGGCTGAGAGCTGCATGCTCAGCCCGGAGCTGGTTGTGCTGTAGAGCGGTCCCTGCAAAAAATATGTGTTAAGCGTTTTCCTGAGACGGGCTGCGCTCCTGGAGCTTGCTGTGCTTGTTCCCTAATGCTGACAGATCCCCCTGAAAAAGTGCTTTGACTCGAGGGGATTCCCAAAGAGCAAGCTCTCGGTTTGGAGGTGGGTTTCAGTGGCGTTTCAGACTGCCGGTTTTTGGAGAACGGGCGGTGAGCACGGTTTCGGAAGGAGAGAGGTGTTTCAATGTGTTGAGTCGTCTCTGAGTCATGGTTTGTGAGATGGAAGACCGGCTCCGCCGGGGGAAGTCGGTGCTATTCATTCCTGCCTCTACCATGCCCCTGCTTCCTTGGGCGGCTGTATCAGGGCTGCTTTCCAATCCCCAAAATCCTTGCAAAGGGGCTGCAGCTCATCTTGTGTCACTGGGGACCTTCCTGGTGTGGCAGAGCTGCTCAGAGAGGGGCACAAATCAGCTGCCAAGCCGTGATGTTGCTCCTAGGGCTCAGTTTGGCTGGGGTGCCCCAAATCTTTCAGGAATGGGGGAAAGGGGCAGCTGCGAGCCTGACCCTGTGGATGGGTCAGAGCCATTCACGGGGTCAGGAAGGATCTGTGTGCTGCTCTCGTTGGCGGGGCCTGGCGTGGGCGTTGCTCCACTCTCTGCCATCCGGCTGGGCAGGGAAGTACCGGTCCTGCCGGCTCTGCCTGCCCACCCCGAGCCCCTGGGTCAGCGCCTTGTCCTGAACAGTTTTGCTGACCTCGGTTCAGTGATACTTTGCTTGGCTAATAAATAACTCGGCAGCCCTCTGCTCTCCTCACTCTCCCCATCAGCCCTGGGGGAAGCGCTAGGTATCTCCCCCGGGGCAGGCGGCTCTGGGGCCACGTTATCAGCACCCGCAGCATCGCCGCTGCCCGCAGCCGGGGTTGTCTCGCCTGCGCAGAAGGGAGGGTGGGGGGCTGGGGGTGTCGGGGCATGGCATGTCTGGTTGCGGGCATGGTGCCCAGCACTGGTGGAGTCAGTGGGTGCTGGGCCCATCCCAGGAGGGAGAGAAGCTGGGTGCTCCGTCTGGGGTGGGGGAAGAGGTGCTGGCTGGAGGGGGACAGGTTGTGCAAACAGGAGAGCAATCTCACCAGCTGCTGATGTACTGGTGCAAGAGCTGTGTGGGTGGAGGAGGGTCTGGCCAGCCTGGGGCAGAGCTGGGTCGAGAGGTGCAGGCAGCTGCCTGCTCTGTGCCTCCCGCCACCCCTCTCTTCCCGGCCGGCTGCTCTTCCCTTCGGGCTGGACCCTTCCCACTGCCTGTTCGGCTGCTCTCAATGCCAGTCCAGGAGGGGTTTCCCAAAGCACCCACACCGGCTCCTTGCACCAGGTGACCCTCATCCCTGTGCAGCCTGGCACTGGCTGTGCCCCTGGACAGGGGACCCTCTTTGGGCACCGCTGCCTGCCCTATGCCATGCGTGTCCCCAGCCCCTGGGCTTCCCTGTCTGCTCCTCAGCCCTGTGTGGCCTCTGGCTGTGCCGGAGCCATATTTGAGGCGAAGCAGAGGGTGCAGCGAGGGTAGCTGGTGACTCAGGGGTGCTGGCAGCGCCTGGCATTGTTCTCTCCCAGACGGTGGGGAGAGCCAGGACCAGCCTGAAATGCCCCTGTCCCAGGTGTCCCTGACCTGCGGTTCCCGAGGAGGGGCAGGCAGGTGGTTTTGGAGGGCACAGGCTCCAGCATGGCACGGGGCTGCTGTGGAGAGATGCTCTGCCCCCCCGGTCCTGCCCATCGCCCCCTCTCCCTGAGCTGGCTCCTGACTCACGGGGTGAAAACAGGAGTCACAGCCCTTGCCTTGCTCCACTGAGGATTCACCTCATCCCAGATCCTTGAGGCAGAGGTGTTTGTCAGTGCAAGCCCCAGTTTGGGAGTGCAGGGGTGTATGGATACAGCCCTTGGGCATCTCCATCCCCAAGAGAGGAGCCCCGGGGGCGGGGGGTCTCGGTGCCCCGCTCCTGTGGGCAAGGGGTGGCTGTGCTGTGGCCAGCTGCGTCCTCCGAAACAGGAACCAGGCCCTTGTTAGCAGTGCAGCTGATGAGCGATGGCTTCCTGAATTGCAGCCCCTAACCCGATTAAGCCAGTGCTTTGGCAGCGCCTCTTCCTCCCCAGGCCCAGATCTCATCCCTGGTCCTAATGAGGAAAAATGTCCTGTTTTCCAAAAGTCATTGCAAGGGGGAGCTCGTCCAAGGGCAGAGCAAAGGAGGCAGCAGCGAGGATGCCAGGAGGGCTGGGGTGAACCCCACAGCCCTTCCCTATCCCAGGTGGATTTTGTCCTGTGCTGGGTTCAGTGATAACCTTCCAGGAAGGAGCAGGCAAAAAGGACCTGTTTACTGGAAAAAGGAAAAAAAAAAAAAAAGCCTCCCTGCCGCTGGGCTGGGCGCTGCCTCTGTGCCGCCTTTAGCAGCAATGTGCTTGGGCTGGAACATTTTGCGTGGGGGAGAAACCTCAGGCTCCTGAGCTGTTTTCCCCCCCCTCTGTCTCAGAAACCCTGCCAGGGAAGGAACGGTTTGGCTGGGAGGAGGCTTTGCCCTTTCGGAGCAAACAAAGAACAGCTTGTGCAGCCGGGTGATGCTTTGGGGGAGCAGGCGCCGTGGAGCCAGGGCTGGTCTGGGACCCTCTTAAACACGCCGCCCCTGAGTCTCCAGCGCTCTGGACAGACTTATTTTCCCCTGACATCCACACCTGGCAGCTCGGGATGGCTGGGCACGCCTGTGTGCTGTGGGGCTGAAAGGCTCCATGGCAAAAGCCCTGTTGCTTCGAGGCTGAGATTTTTGTTAGCCCCTGGCTATTTCTCTGCGGCGGTATTTCTTGTCTGTGTGAACATCCAGCCCCCTTTTTTCCCCGGCTCCCTGAGCAGGATGATCTCAGGTGGAGGAAAAGGCTCCAGCACTTTAGTTTTGTGGCTCTGCTCTCATCTCCGGCTGCGTTTGCCGATGTCTTCCAGACACTACTGTTACCCCGTCCTGCTACAGCGCTGGGCTGTCCCTTTGCTGTGTGGTGTGTTCCTGGGGATGAGGGTAACGAGAGGAAATCCCGTTGCCTTAAACATTTTTATTACGATAGGATCCACCCTGGCAAATTAGCGACCTCAACCTCAGAGCTGGGGGATTAAAGAGAAGCAATTGCAAAGGGAAACAGGGCTGGTTTTGGTGTGGGAACGCATCCATCCCCCGTGCAGTGCCTAGCACAGCACGTCCCAGCCTGCCCTGGCTGCGCTTGCTGCCACAAGTGTTTTTCAGCCTCGTGCGCGTCACTTCAGTTGTCTGAATCCCATTAACACTTAAACTTGGGAGCTCAGCAGAAGTGAGAGCCTTTCCCGGCGCAGCGCTCAGCAGAGGCATGTGAAGAGCATGCCGGGGTGGGGCACGCCGAGCTGCTGCCAGCTCCTTATTTTGCTAAATTCGTGCCCTTTGGGAGCAGCAGTTTCCTTCCCTGCTGCTGGCAGCCAGGATAGGAGGAAGCCACTGGAGCTCTCCCCCTGCTCCTGGCCAAAATTAGGGCTGGCATGGAGGAGTCCCTG